GAAAACTGATTACAATTAAGTGCACGGATTGTATTAAAAAAATTCCCCATATATACGTGTAAAATAATATAGATTTTGGAAACGGAAATACTTGAAATCTTAGCCAGCTGAGCAATTATTTTTATCTTTGACATCATATTTTTGATGCAGATGCAGATAAATTGGTGTTAAAAGCACACCTTCTTTTTTATGAATTTTCAAGCTTTTGAACAAAGCGGCGACAGCAAAAAGGCTAAGGCATAGAAGCAGAGAGCGAATGCAAGATGTCTGACGAAAACCCGAATACGAATGATTAGGTTTTGGTTAAATTTTATTCTCTGTGATTGATAAAAAATTTAGAACTAAAATGTTAAATTATTATTGGCTAAAGCGTTATTTGCGTCATTTGGCGTTATGCAAGAATAATATGACAGAGATGAATTTTGAAATAGCGCAGTTAAGATCGACTTATTATAAGCAGTTATTATTTCGAGGACAGAAAGGGAAAATAACCAAATTAATACGGGGGAATTAAGGGACTACTGCAAATTAAAGTTAGTTTTTTTATCTATGCATTTTTTATTTCGCATACAGAAATGAAAATGAGCCTGACCGTCCGAAAATGTTGTCTTAAACGGTTCCCTCTCTATTAGTTCTGATAAATGAAGCTTAACTGCAATTAACATTCTTAGTTCTAATATACAATGACAAATGCAATAATGACAGATGTGCGATTCGATGTGTGACTAATATTTTGCTCTGATCGGTGACAAATACGGACAAAGTTCGGTCCTCCTGCTCTGCAAAACTGTCCCTATGACCACCAGGAAGATCTGTCCCCTCAAGCAACGACCGCCAGCGGTTCTAACGTGCGAATCCTAGTGTTGCTCTACTGTTAAGAATATAACTTTATCTATAATAATATTCGAAGAAGTCAAAACATAGGAGCTCCTGCTTTAATTAGTATATAATGGTTAGCGACGCTGACTGCTCTATCGTAGCGCACAAATTCGAATCCCTTATATAAAACATTGAAAGTGTATAGTATCTGTCTGGCATAAGGGCTCTTAAAATAATGGCGAGCCGGAAGTCCTTAAGAGAGGTTTGGTGATAGGGAAAGAGAGGTGGAAGACCCTCGAATTCGTCCCTCAGGATGTTTTCCATCAAAATTTGAACGACGGTGTGCAAATGTGTGCGGTGGGATTACACCTGCAAAACTACTGGTTAAGTTTATGTGTTCTGCTCACTTTTTCAGCCCTATGACTACTATTAAAAAAATTAGGAAATAGATATTATTATCAAGCAACGAAATCAGATAACAGTATTTTTTTCCAAATACTTTGATAAGATATTATGCAATCACAGAGGTTATTATTTGGCCACTACTTCTCGATTATTATTTGGCCGTAACTTCACGTCACGATTATAATTCGGCCCTAACTTCTAAACAACAATAATAAAAAAAATGAAGCATTGTTAAAATTACTTCTCGTCGAAACGGGGAGTTGCCCAACGTATTAATGTCATCCCGACAAAAAAAAAAAAAAAAAAAAAAAAAAAAAAAAAAAAAAAAAAGGTCAGCAGATACGCATTTACAGAAACAACTGCAAGCATTACTGTATTACACGTTACGCACATTACATGGTGCACAAATCCGTGCTTTCTTAGGCTCTTACATTATTCACAGTGACAGAACTTCAAGCACTGCAAATTATACACAGTTGTGCTATATAATACTAGACTGTAACGCATAGAAGGTACAACGATGAGATTCATAAATGTGATTCAGGCCCAAATGGTTGTAACAAAGCTTCGATCTGCAAAACGCAATTGTATGCGAAAAGCAATAAACATGGTGTGACTATACAATTTATAACGATAAAAAACAATAAATAAGCTTTTTTTTAATTCCAAATAAAATAAAATTCAAGTTAGGGAAAAAAAAAACATACGAATTTATCAAGTTTCGTTCATGTCGACTGTTACGGACATTTAAATGAATGGGAAAAGTAGGAAAGGTAACAGAAAACGGAAATCGCACAAAGGAAGTTTAAGGAAAGCAGACACGCCACGACGTCAACGGGAACAAATTATAAAGAGTGCCTCATCACGACCACAGAGGGGGTTTAAAAAAAAAAAAAAAAACTAAATCGCAAATTTAAAATAAACGACATACCCATTACCTATTTGATCAATCACATGCTTCACCCCCTTGCGTACCAAAAAAAACAAAATAAAGTTAAAAAGAGGGAAAGAAAAAAATAAAAAAATAAAAAATAAAAAAAAATTTTTTTCGTCTAACGTTTAATAAGCCATCAATGCCAATATGAGAAAAGTTGAAAAATGGTAATGACTTATTATTTACTCAATATTTCATCTTTCAAATTAATCAAAAAGCAAATCGCAATGGGGGAAAAATAATAAAAAAATTAAATCCAGGAAACCCAGCCTTATTTAAACTCGGACTTTTGAATAATAATAATAATAATAATTGAAAAAAAAATTCGGTTCAAAAAAATTATTCAGATCGATAACGCCGAAGTGAAGTGAAGTGAAGTAACAGAAGTAATGAGTTTCGTAGGGGCAGCGGCGGCACAGTCATAAAAACACTAAATAATTTATTGGGGTAAGATCAACGTATTAGCGTTCAACGACGGAACCCCACCCAATATCCACAAAATGAAAAGTCGCATGAGATGTGTGCGCGCATGCATGTGTGCTTGCGTGCATTTATGCATGCATGCCATTAAATCACTTAATGGGGGGAACGATGCGGGTGATTTATAAGTCATCAATCAGACTTTTGAGAAATTTATAATAATAATGCATTGTTTGTGCCACGGCCAGATGATAAACTGAGATTTGCGCTCTTTTTTTTAACCCCCTTCTCTTCCTCTTTCTCTCCAATCTCATTTACTTTATTCTCTCCTTAAAAAAATAACGGGGCTAGATTAATTTTTAAAACTTTAAATCTGTAACTTTCTTAATAAATAAAATATACGGTAGCCACCTCAGAATTGTAACGATCATAATGAGCTTAATGAATTGATTAAAGGTCTTTTATTATTTTTCATAGGTACCCATTCTTCACGGTTAAGGTTTAGAAGAGCAACGTGGAGGAATTAATAAAAAAAAAATTAAATAAAATAACGGAGGGAAAGAAAATTATTGGCGTTTCAGTTTTTATAACCCTGCAAGACGGTCAAGCAAAAAAAGTTTAAAAAAAAGAAAAAAGAAGAAAAAATTGTATTAATTGAAATCGCAAAAACACTCTCCCTTTACTTCTTTAACTTCGAATGATTTTCAAAAATTAAAAAAAAAAAAAAAAAAAAAAAAAATTCACAAGGAAATAATTTATTTTATTCTCGAACTAAGGGTAATGAAGAAATATGACGACTTTTTTCAGTTTCCATAACGTCATTCATTAATCAGGACTTTAAAAATAAACGGCATTTTTAATAAATTAATTGAGACTGTCTTTCGAATTCTCGGCCACAATTTTCTCCCCTACCTTTGATTTTTACTCCTCATGATTTTTCGAATAAAAACGTTTAAGCATAAAAATTCGATATTCGTTCACGCATTTCTGTGCCAATCTAGTTCATAATATCGATGTTATTAAAGCAATACAAATCTCTAATGTAAACAGAATATTTATACATTTTCCATTTTTATATTTAATAGTAAAATCTCAAGTACTCTCCTGCCCACTAACATGACACAAGTACATGTTTTATTGCAAACATAACTAATCTGATACAATGCATACTATAGCATGAATTCTCTTATTTTTAACTATTATTAAGTAACTATATTTGTAGATTAAGTAACTATATTTGCTGAAAGGAAACGAAAAATATAATTTGCTGCAAACTACTACATTTTTAAAAACATCTGAAATTACAGACCTCATTTCCGGTGGGATTTAAAAAAAAAAAAAAAATTGGCAACAGTTTTTTTTTATCAAACAGGGGGGGGGGAAAACTAATGAATCGTATTTTGGCTTTTCAGTTTTGTCATGTGGTATTTAAGAATGATAATATTAATAATAATAAAGATGAAAAAATAAAGTGAGCGACATTTAAACGGCGTGGATGTTTAAGATGACCAATCATCTAATGTTATGGAATCTATCATGGCACCAATGTTTGATTTTATTGTTGATAATCTACTTACGCTAGACGGTCTCATGAAAAACCACGTGTACATCACGGAATGGCCTTCTCGTTGCCCAACGAATTTCTCTAGCTCTGTACCATTTTCGAGTAAGAACACTACGGGCGAATGAATTCGAAGTTCCTAGTATTCCCTAAGATTGATGGCATTTACGTGCGCTATTTCTCAGAAACATTCCGGCCATAAGAGTCCATGCCTTAATGAGATACTAAGATATGAGCGCAAGTCTTCTGGCGTGATAACCAACCAGCCATACAACCTTCAACCTCCATACTTCTAGAACAGATACAACCGAAGCTGGCTTCAAGCAAGTGCGGCAGAAGCAGGCGCCTACAGCCCCCATTTGACTAGGGTGGCAGTCAAGTTATTCTCAAGGTGAAAAATATACCTTTAAAGTATATTTTTCTTGTAATTACTATCAAGTTTAATTTATACGAGGCGCTTGCATTGATCCCCTAGGGCGGCGAAAATATTGGACGAGGTTTGGTAAATTGATTACGGCAAAGCACACGAGGGTTACCTGAATAAAGGAAGAAATGCCCATGTGGAGGACTTTATAAACGAAATTAGAGATGTATTTATGCAAACTCCCAAAACAGCTGTAAAATTCGTCGGCATGTAAAACCAGTGAAAATGCTCTACACGGGGATTATTGGAAGAATACACGTATATATCAAACCATGGCAATAAGACGTGAATGCCAATCAATAGATTATGCTCCACAAGCTACGGCAGCAGCCCACGCATGCAAAGCTTAGGCAACAACAAATCATGCATAACAAACGTGGCGCTGAACAGCTGTGATAATGATACAGTTCAATGTGGACGTTAACTTCATAACTTACTCAAATTGGTCAATTAATGATCGTCCAGTGTGACCATCAGATCCTCTAAAAGTACTCCAGCTATTTAGACCTGCAGTTAACAATTTCAGATTGAAAGCTTTTCAGTGTCAATTTTCTACCGGTTTACCACTGAAAAAAAAGACGCCTGACTTTTTCTCCTTTCCCCAAAATGTTAAAGATTATTCCTATTTCAACAAATCAGCTATCACAAACAATTTTTTTTTAATCAAGGAGAACCTGTGTTCCTTTGAATGGTAACCCTAGGGATACACAATCGTGGGCAATTGTTATGGGTCACAAAACACAAAATTGGATAAAAGAGTTGTTCTTTCCAAATACTTTCACATGTCATGACAGCTTAAGGCCTATTCTTAACGAAGCCTAAATATACTCACAATAAAATAATTTCAACTAAATTTTCGTTTTTGACGAAGGAACATAAAAATTTAAAAACAAATCTACATTAAAAATGCAACTTTCCAAGTAGATCATGCAGGAATTTATGTAACATAAGAATAATTACTAATATAGCTGCCTCGGGAAACATTAGATGGGAAATGATAAAACTACCAGTTTATGTAATCTAAGATAGAAGTGCGAAAAACAATTCTGTTATGGTATACAACAAAGATATTATTATTATTTTAATTGGCGTTAACAAGCAATAAGCATACAAAACAAATAACTCTGCACTGATAGTGATGCAATATTGTTGAAGCTTACCTGAGAGAGGCGGACAGCCCTTGTCACTTAGTCTCCGTCGAACGGGACCGATGGCATTTGGATTGGGCGGGTGTAATGGCGGAGGAGGGCCCAGCCTCTGTGGGACGGTAGCCATGAGGGGCCCCGCATTCGACATGGTCGTCATGACAGCAGAAAGGGCTGGCGGAGAACTGCTTACGGCCGGAACGAGGGCCATCTGTGGCGAAGAGGGGGGACCGGATTTTAAACTGGAGGCCAAATTCTAAACAAAATTAAAGTTTGCAGTAAATACAACTATACCAGCTCTAGTAATAAAACTGTGCAGTATTAGTTAATTAATTTTGTAACATTAATTATTTACTTAATTAGACGGGATGAAAATGAGATACGTATATTTCCGAATATAAACCAAGAAGTAAAGTTTTGCTGAAAAAATTCACCAAACTAAAAATGCATATATTAGTATTTAAAATCGCCCTAATAAATCTATAGCAATTATGTATAAATGGATGGTCATCTAGCTTTACTAGACCTATCACACAAGCTGAAGGTGAGTTCCAATTTACCTTCGGCTTCCATTCCAAAAACATGAGAAAATGTGAGAAAAAAGCAGTTTGGCGCCAACAGTTCGTCTTTCTCAGTTCTCCCAACTTTTGAGCTTTCATTTGGCATTTTGTCAATAACATCCGAAAATCTTACTTTGATCCTCAGTTCTGGTAACTATTCTTAAGTAATCAGGGCACTATTTTTCTTCTTAGTTGCGCTCTCGCTTTTACGAGTTAAATACAATTCTTCATTTCTACTTCAAAGATGCCTACTACATTTTCTGCTGGTTTTAATATAGAGCATCACTTTTGCTGAGCACAGCTGTGGACAGAACTGAAGATGATGTTATCTACAAGGCGGATGATAACGATGCCAGTAGTGAAATGGACGGCGATAACATTCTTCCGGTTTTGCCTCCAGCACACAGACGTTCGAAATTGCTAGAAAACTTTGATTCGAAGGCTGATATTATGAAATTAATTTATATTAGAATCAAATCAAATAAAACTATTTTCAGTAATTTTATCTACAACATTACATTTATGACCAAATTACTTATAAATCATTTCGAACCCGTATATACTCTGACTTACAAATTTCACTAGTAAAAAAATTGGTAAAAATCATCGACTGAATAGAGCATCTGAAAAAACACCGTGTATATTGATTAATGTATATCATATATTGCCTCCATTGAATTACAGTCAATTCTTAATTAAACGAGTATGACATCCAAGGTTAACTCAGAATTACGGTTAACATGACAGCAATTAAAACAAAGGAAAGAGGAACTCTCCAGATTATAATTAACTGAAGAAAACTATTAACAATTTACCTGAATTTTCAAGCAATTTAATCTAAAGAATAAATTTATTTGTTTATGTAAACTATGAAGTGTGAGTAATTTTTACATCATTTCGCACTACACAAACTTACCTTTTTCAAGACGGGGCTCGGTTATGCAACTACAGGAGGTGCGATTCGCCCCGGGCAGGAACTTCTTTAGGATCGATTTTTTTACGTGAAACATACTATAGAGAGACTAATGTCATGTATCTTTACAACCGAAAGAAGGATTGGTATTTATTGGATTACAACATTTGTGTAAGTGGAGGAATGTCTTTATGGAGGATAAACATTCCGCACGAAGTTATTAAAATGTGAGAACAGGCTCAAATTCACATTATTAAAGGAGCACTGGCTTGCATTCATGTAGTACACATGCGTTAATACAACGTTACTCAACATATATTACACAAAAGGTAAACCATGAAAATATTCACGCAGTCAGCCCATAAATTGGAATCCAGTTCGGATTAAAAGTATTCAGCTACCTTATTCATTCAATCATTGTTGACGTGTAAAGTCCCGAGATGCTGAATTGCCACACGAAATTGAAATAAGGAGAGAATTATTTTTACGCTGGAAAGCGTATTCAAAGAAGATTTCAACAGCTTCATGTTCTTGTTATGTCTTTCTTCCACAATCGAAACTTTGAATGAAAAATATGAATGCCAGTTTTATTTATCATCACAATAAAGAAAAGTCGTTCATTGAGCGAAAAGCGTCTCAGAATTTTATTTCAGTTACTGCTTAGGAAGACGAAACAGAGAGGTAAAAGGAAGTTCGATACAAATTTTTGCAGAGTGTGCTAAAATACTGTCTCAAGAACGCAGTTCTAAATGCTGCAAGATTATTGAGAAATTTTCATCAAAACTATTGTATTATTTATTACGAGAGAATTTTTTTAATACAAATCAATTAAAGCAAGCCAGATCTAAAAATGAATATATTATTGTATTTGAGGTTAGGTTACGTTATTTGAATACCACAAAGTCACGACGGCTATCTGCGTAAGAGGAAGAATGCCTTCGTGGAGGACTTTCTAAGGGAAACTGGCTCATTTTCACGTTATACATGGGAAAAACGACGAAAACCAACCACGCAGCCAGCCCGTTCGCCTGGGAACGAACTCCAGCCAAGGCGAACTACCAGCATTTAGCGGTCTTAACCCCACTTGGCCACCAGTGGGGCTTTTCTATTTAAGAAATTGTACTGTATTGTGTGTAGAAGAACCGCTAAAAGTACTATTCCGTTTTGAGGACCGTACAAAAATTGCAGTGAAAATGTATGCGCAAAAGCGCCAAATCTAGTAAACGTGCCCATTTAACAGCGCGCCAAATCTAGCGTACGCGCTGATTTCAAATTGCGCAAGTTTAGATAGTTCTATATTTCTTAAGACGCCATTGGAATAGTAGTTTAATTTAAAAAGTAAAAGAAAATTGAAATTGTTTTTACCCTTGTAAAAAGCGGCAAACAAATAAGTGGGCAATTGCCCTGTACTTTACTGCGAGAGTGTTTTCAAAGAAAGGGCATCATTCATTATAGGAAATTATGTTTGAACAACCAATGAGATGACATTATGCTTTAGCGATAACTCTATAGCGAAATAGCGATGCAGGCATCCATTCAGTTATGTTTAGCAATTGTTATATATTAAATTATAATAATGATCTGAATAGATATTTACTCTAATGCTTCCATTCAGTCATGTTTAGCCTTTTATATAAATTATAATAATAAAAAGTATTAAATGAATTAACCTTTCATCTAAATTAAAACCATAATCTTAGGGTTTATTTACTATTATACTTCCTTTCTTGCGTTAGGGTTGCCGCGATTATTTTTGGCAGCACTGGCATCAACATTAGTTTGGCGATTTTTTACGGTCCTCAAAACAGAATAGTACCCAGCTAAAGTAATCAAACAGTTATAAAGACTGTCACTAAAGATTCTGCTAACAGAAAACGAGCAAAGTAGCGCACCCTAGGACAGGAATTCTCGAACTTTTAAAATTCTATACCATAAAAAAATGCAATTTTAACATTTATTTAAATCTTTTGTGCAAAAATTGTAGCATAAAAATAACCATAGCTTGAGAAACCCTGCTTTAGGCTATGGAATTTAAGTTTTTTTTTTAAATAAACATACAGCTTTTATTTATTACTTATTTATTCATTAATATGTCGTTTTGACATTCCATAGCACTTTTGGTGTGCACTGAGATGGGTGGCAAACAGATCTCCTAGGGGGGGGCAAGAGTTCTGGTTTGCCACTCTCAGTTAATTCGTCCCCAGGGATATTAGAGAAAAGACTGGTTATTGAAGTTCTATTACTGTTAAATTTGGAGACCACTGCTTAATGATGATGAGTTTTTTAAAATGCGTCAGCTTCATTTTAAGTCTGTAATATTTTATTCAGGAGTTTGAAAAAGTACGCGTTACGAAGAGTTGCCGACTATGAACGATTTAGCTAAGTTTTACATAAAATAACAATAAAATCCAGACAAGTAGCACACTAACGTTTTCCATCTTGGAAGGCGAGCTGCGGTGATTGTTGGAGGATACGTTGTTATTTGTGCTGCTGGAATACGGTTTCATATGAAGGTGCTGCATCATGGCCTGGAGGCGTTCCTTCTCTTTCGAAAGCTGCAGCTCTAGCTGAGAAACCACTTGCATCTGAACGCGAGCCTGGGCGGTGCTCCTGTCATCCAGCTGATGCTCTAAATTCAGATGCCTGTAAAAGAAAAATTATTATTATTGTTACTTTTATAATACCATCATAAATTTTTAATACCTCTAGCAATTGTAAAATCGATGAACGAAATGAATGCAGTTTAACTTCCCTAAGATGTCTATACACTGTTTTAGTCTTCTGTGAGAGAAGTCGTCTTACAAAGCATGATTATTAACGTCAGCATTAGTAAATAGTCGTAATTACCATTAGTATCATAAATCATAATTACCAATTAATGAGTCCTAATTACTATTAGTACTTATGACTCAGAGATATTGGTCATATTCATAAATGAATGTCTACCGATTTCTCTGTATCATATTTACTTTATATTGCTACTGATGCCTGGCAGAAGAACCATTACGGCAGTTAGCATATCCGCCAGGTGGCCCAGCTGACGGAGCTATCTTTAAAATGGTGTAGACCGCAGGCCCCAGTGCAGCCTTTATTAAAGGATCAAGCAAAATCGATGTGTTTTGGTTCTTTTCATATGTCAAGCTCATGTGCATCAAGCTGTTTGTAATGTTTAGTGATATGTAAAAAAATCTTGTAAGAAAAGCGTTGCGTCTCTTTACAGACTAGACAGAAACAACGCGTTTCAGGACATTTTTGAAGTTTGGATGCTTACCTTTCTCAGGCAATGTTTTTTTAGTTTTCTTTTTAACTCTCATTATACTCTAATTAAAATTTGTAATACTACAATATAGTTAAATACAGAGCTGTGGAGTCGGTAGGGAAAATGACAAACTCCGATTCTGACTCCGACTACTGAAATTTTAATGACTCCGACTCCTTCATATATAGGTAAACATATACATATGGGTGCAGCTTATTTTTTTAATATAAAAAATGTACTAAATGATACAGAAAAAATTTGATGCATACCACATTTTTCATATTAATTAGCATTTATTATGAAATGGAAAAACTGGCATTAGTAATTTCTAAGAAAACAGTGAAACTTCGGCAAGATCTTCTTTGTTAGAGGACCATAGATCCAATTTGATAAACTTCAGAACTGAGAAGTGTCTTTCCACACTGACTTCAGTAGGAAGAAGAGCTATTACTGTTAGGGTTACTTCCTTTAACTTTTCAGTATAGATTTTTTTATAAGTACTAAAGGAGGTGTTTTGCAAGAGCAATCCTATTTATCTATTTCTTCAAAGGCCGTGTAGAAATCTTGTTTGTATTTTTTCATTTTTATATCTAAAGGCTCTTGGTTATTTATTTTCATTCACTCTGCCTTAGCCTTTTCAATATTATCCAAATATTTATCAAAATCTAATTCATCAGTGGAAGAAGATGAGAGAGACTCAGTTGCAATATCTGCAGTTTGACTGTCCTGATTTGAATACTCCAGTTGTTCTGAGAATAGTTTCATTCTTAATAAAAGTTAACAGATTGCTTTTTTTGCCTTTTCAATTTGTTTGTCATCCAACAAAATTCGGAGTTTTGGATCTACATATATTGAACACAGCACGATCTTATTGTCTAACAAACTAGTTTCTCTTTTCTTCATTGAAAAATAATTTCTTCTGCAATAAACCCTCCATTTCAGAAAGAACAAACATCACATTCTTCCAGTCTTGCCTCTTGTTAATTCTTCAGATTGTTGTAGCTTTTTGGTGGCTATATACGGTATAGAAAGAAGGGTTTCCAGTTCTGAAAGATCATTCCACAGTCTTTCTGTTAGTGAAATATTAGGGTTATTTATATCTTCTGAAAAAGTTCTTAATTCTAACAACCACTATATCATCAAACATGTACTTCCCCATTTCGTTGCTCCTTTTCCTATTCGCTTCCTAAGAATGACATCAATTTTGGGAGTTCTTGCTGCTACTGCTGCTTACCTAAATTGTAACTAAATGAAGCAGTTTTTTCAATAATGGCAAATATCATATCCATTCTCCTCCCTTATATTTATTCATTAATACGTCAATAAAATAGAAAATAACTAATTATTAATGTATATAGTCCATAAATAAAAATATTAACTCAGTTTTGTTATTTATTTTTTTTCAATTCACTTTAATTTCATTTCAAATTCTAACTGTTCAACAAAAAATTGAGACGAAGTCGACGTGTTTTTTTAGCGACTCCAACTCCGACTCCTCTTACCCAAAAAACTACCCGACTCCGATTCCGACTCCACAGCCCAGGTTAAATCAAACTTGCTTTTGAGACCGAGGTCCTAAATCACTGATGGATTCACCTGCATATGCGATGAAAATGAGATAGTAATAATGAAAATAATATGCTTCAGGAAATATTCGTCAGTTATAACTACATAAATATATAATACTGAGATTGCTCACTTTTTGAAAGCCTGGAAGTCGTCACAAACGGTTTCGCAACCAGGCCACTTGCAGACCCCATGTCCATAGAGGGCGTGACTTGGAGGACTCACACACCCTCTCTGGTCCTCTTTAGGAGTTGGAGGTAGGCTTCTTTGGGATGAAGAAGAAGATGCTGTGCTCACCGGGGATACAGAATAATTTTCGTGCTGAGGCGCACCACCATTTACAACAGGGCGTCCTCCAGGGGACCCTCCATGCATCATACCATTCAAAGGTGTCCCACTTTCTTCACCGGAACCGTCTTTCCAAACATCGTTGGCGTTAAGACCTACAAAAGCAAAAATACATTATTTAGCACAACTTCGATGCTAGAATACAAGCTATAAAGCTCTAAAGATAACAGTTTCTCATTCTTCGATTGTTTCAGATATTACACTAGGAGTGATTTTGTTCTGTCGATACTCGCGGAAGAATACCCTAACTTTAGTCATTATATAGCATTTCATGCTATTTGCATATAAATTTTATGACCATATATGCATTTTTATTTTTCGGGTAGCTCATATTATTCAGCTGGCAAGCTAGCAGAGTGGCTGTATACCTGGAGTACATCTGGAAATTAACTGAAGGGGAAGCAAGCAGTAGAAATTTAATTTAACAACAAATATACAATACCTAACCGACAAGAATAAGACAGATATATACAGATTCATTTTTCCTCTTCTTAAGCGTTAAGTCCTCAAAACAGTCCGACATGTTTTGGGGAAAAATATTGATGTTTCGAATAAATTGGTCTGCGTAGTGGAGATACGACTTATAGTTCGGAAGAGTGCATCATGTAATAACAATGTGCATTCTTTATTGTTCGAATAATTTGGAACACCTGTGCACCTATGCTAATTGCAGTCATACAGTTGACTCTTTCCCTTCAATAGTCAAAGTATTTAAGATATAACTTGCTAATTAGATTAAATTTCTGCGAAATCAAAAAGCAATGAGTTTACAAGGAAGCTGATAATCTAAAATTGCAAAATAAACATGTCATCCGAATGTTAATTACTGTCATACAGTTGATTCTTTTCTTCGAATAGTCTAAGTATTCAAAATATGACTTGCTAATTTGATTAAATTTCTGCAAAATAAACAAGCAATGTGTTTACAAGGAAGCTGTAAATCTAAAATTGTAAAATAAACATGTCATCCGAAAATCGGTTTTCTGCACACATCATTTTCTAATTTCATTAAAAAATGAATACCAATATACATTAGAAGAATCTCATCATGACTTAGTATGACACAAATAAGCATAGAAATTAAACGTCACCTCTTTAAGAAACAACCTTCATAGAAAAACAAAATCATCTGACATCGTGAGTAGACGTATTAATGAAAATTTACACGTACATAAATTTTTAGTCTAAGACATGTTCAATGAAACACCCTTTACACGACTTCCTTCTGCTCTAGACAATTTTAGCCTTGTGTGGAGGTAGAAAAAAGACTTCGAAAATCTGTCAGAGGCGTTCTATACCGTTATTTAATTATGATCTCAAAAATATTGATCTCTTTTAGAAGCGGTCATTTTAAAGAGGAGGTGGCCAGGAGAGGGTTCACTGCATTAGCAAAATTTCAGAACATTTTGAGGAAATTTATATATATACAGAAAAATAATCTGAAACATTATCAATAATGCACAGTAAATTTGAGACATGTAATAATTATAATGATAATAGCATAAGATAAAAATGTTGGATAACATGAAGCAATAACACTCCGACTTGTGTATTTTAAAACTAAACTGGTAAAAACATGCGCTTTGACTGCAACTCGAATTAAGGTCTTCATCATTTGCAGACGTTCATGGTACCATTTCACCATCGGAGCCAGCAGCTCGGACTATTGCATAAATGCTGGATCTTCTCTCATTCGCGGATGAGCAAGTTATCACTGCAATACCGAAGCCGATTCCTCTTAATACCTACTTGAAAGTCTTTCATCGGGTACAGTGTCACACATATTAGCGCAAAACATCTTACATTAGAAGAAAAAGTAAACTAGTTATAATATTTCGATTTTCTTTGCGATAAATTTAATATACTTCTTTATTTTTTCTCTAGTAATTTACTATCAAAATGTAAGGTATACAAAGCTTATTTTCACGTTAGAACCAAACAAGTATTAGTAAATGCATCATGCTAAAATTAGCATTAATTGTAAGAGATGGCTTTAAAAGTAATAAATATATTTAATGTATGAATATTCATTTCCATTCTTAGGTGGCGCGTGCAGAAGAAATCATCTGCTACTATCATTCAATGTTTCTAAAATAATACAAAAACAGACAATAAAGGTATTTATCTTAGCGAAAAATACAATGGTAACGTGATTAAGAAATTAACAGAATTTGTTTAATGCGTAATTGGACTCGATATAGTATCCCGATTATTTTTTTCCAGATCATTATACAGAATGAGGAGAAAAACACAAAAAAGTAAAGAAGTCAAAGTAATGAAAACATCAGAGCATATCGTTTTTGTTGGTAATGATGATAATTATCGTTAAAGAATAAAAACAAATATAAAAATACTTTAGGAACAGATAACCAATGTTTATAAAGAAATCCAAAACAAAAGCTGCAATTATTCAAGAATTGAGAAGGAAAGATGAGCTGCTTAAAAAATAAAATTAAAAAAAATTAACAAGAGACAATGCTTTTTATTCACTACCTGATAGTGCTTATCATCAAATAACCAATTGTTTGAAGGTGAATTAAAATTTGCATGAAAACTGACTTTTTTATTCCGACAAATCTTAAAGAGAAAAAACAAAGAAAAGATACCTATAACGAAAACAAATTAGTAAACTAAAACTTTTAAAAGTTTTTCACGAATTAAAAGCATAGAAAAATACAGATTAATTTTTTGCGAAGAAAATAAAGAACAAACATCAAAGGCTGATAAACAAAAATGGGAAAAGCAAAGGGGATAAAAAAAAAAGAAAAAGAGAAAGAAAACGGAGAAAAAGAAATCTTAATTTTTTAGCACTAATCAACATTCAACTGTTTTAAAGATAAAATTGCAAAAAGATTATATATATATATATATATATATATACCTACATACTCAAACATATATATGCATACTTGTATAGATATATTAAAAAAAGAAAAAGAAAAGAATGGCGATTAAGTACTTAAAACAAAAACCGTATTTTAGACGAAGTCACCTTATCTTCATAAACATTTCGTTTGAATTTAAGCCTAGATCATTAATTGACTTTAGAATTATTTATTTACTTATTTTTTTTTTTCAGCAGCCGTGCGTCGTCTGCTCAGATTCTTTTAAAGTAAATAAATTAACTTGCTAATTAAAATCACAATTGATGGTTCAAAGTTAATCCTGCTATTCCTAAAATCTTGAATACAGAGAGACAGTCTTTTTAATTTTAATTTTTAATTTTTGAAACCTTCGTGCAAATTTATCTTTGATATATATTTTTTTTATCACCGTAACAGACTTACGACGTAATTCTAGCTGCAACGGCAACTGTTTGAGACTTAAGCATCTGCCTGAGATTTAAGAAAATAGGTGTGTTGGTCAAATAATATTAATTGCAATAAAGGAAACAAATGAGTCAATTTTTTTGCGGGGAGGGGGACAATTTCTCGGAATGTTTGATTGCATGGGTTTAAAACGGATTACCTTGTAATGTTTGCTGAAGCGTGTCCGAACACGCCGTAATTTACTAATGCAAAATAAACAATTATGATTCATTTAATCCTTCGGTAAAATATGCCGTTAATCCTTTCGCTCTAACTTTTTTTAAGTGCCTAATCACGTATAATAATAACATTAAAGGGCAGAGGGATCTGTTTATAACACAGCAGACAGTTTTTATCCTTAAAAAACTCATCTTTGAAGATATAATACAGCATTTAGTTTCGTTACCATAATTTTTTTTTATGTTAGGCAGAGAGCATTAATTCCTAATGAACTTATAATTCGCGCAATTTTTAATAAATACTAGATAATATACGATGGAAATATTTTTTTTTCTTTTCAGGAATATTTCTTCACAAAGACTTAGAATTAAAAGAATCTGAATTATTTCAACGGTATTATGTTACAAGCTTAGGGAGAATTAGATGGAGATATTTATGTATTATAAATGCTTTTAAAGGGGCATGTGGGCAGTGTGTAAAAACGTTACATAACATCGAAAGCTTTAATGGACAAAGCTCCTGAAATGAGTTGTTAAAACGTCTCAAGGAGAATTTCTTTATTCCTTTTTTTTTTCTCCTTTTCCCTTTGGCGATAACACAAAAATAATGTAAGCTTTGTAACTAATGTACCAAAGCTGTATTATTTATATCTGATTGAACTAAGATCACTAATACGAAAGAAACTTAATTAAATCAGTAATGGAATGAGTTCGGTAGGATTAAAAGTGTACGGCAATGGATTTAAAAAAAAAAAAAAAAGGAGACATAACAGTTTTTTCTTTCAGCTTTTGATATTTAATTATTATCAACTGTCATAAATATCTAATGCAGCTCTTTTGAATAAAAGTTTATGCAGACAGCTTTTTATTCGATATTTCCTTCTTTCATCTAATAACTCAGTTTAAGTACGCAAATTAATAATGTTTAAATATTTCTTGGTCCATCTATTTACATTATATTACTGAGAACTTTCGCGCCCGTTAGAACGATTTTCTTATTAAATTAGTAAATACTAAACAGATATAAACAGATATTAATGTTAAAAGACAAAGATTGCAAGTTTGCCGCTCATATGTTACTTCGATGCATAAAACACCTGTTAAGACTTACAGACTTTATGACTTATCGTTGCTATGCCTACGTAATTCAACTGTTACGATAATCTTTTTAAATTAAGCATTTCATTACATCTGGAAGAGGAACAGAAAATGACTGGATACAGAATAAAAGTTTTTTAACGCGATGTCAATTTTTGACTTCTTTGAATATTTATTAGCCCAAAAGGGCATTAGCTCGGAAGGGCTATTAGTCTTGAAACGGAATTTTGCGACGGCCCATTATAAATGTCCATTTTACTTTTCAAATTGTTGCCATCAAATCTTATCGCTCTGTATTATATTTAAAGAAATTAAATAATGAAAAATCTGCATGAATGTAAGTTCTCGCATTGCCGCCCCCCCCCCAAAAAAAAAAAAAAAAAAAAAAAAAAAAACAGCGGTACCTAGATCCAAAACATTTTGAATAAAGCAGTCCTCCACCCGAATATGGGTACTTGGAAGCTCGAATTTGGAATTTGTTTCATTGTCTACTACTTATTTTGTAAAGCT